TCTTCAGGTCAGGTTGGATCTATCCTTCGTTGCTCCTGGCCACGTTGCTCTATCTATCCATTTGGTCACGTAGCCAGAACTTCTGGCCATATATAGCCAGAGATAAGGAAGAAAGCATACTCCTTCAATTACCGACTAATTATGCCGGCAAATTCTTTGTTCGACGCGCGCACGGTCATACAATCGTGTCGATCACGAGGGCCATTTAACATTAATAAAATATGAAATTTGTAATAAAATCTTATAAAATTATATAAAATTTTTAAAGCTAATATAACTAATACCGCGTTTTTTGTGTAATACGCGTGATTAGTCTTCGATTTAAAATAAAGAAACTCGATTACATAAAAAAAAAAGAAATTAAATAATAAGAATAGAAATATAAAAAAAATGATTTTAATCATTTTCATATACATAATTAATATATAGGATATTCCACAGCTATGGAGGACTATTTTCGGGTGTAGATAGAGCGGGCTAAACTCAGTCGAAAAGTCCTTTACCATTTTGCAATTTTCGCAATAGTTAATGAGTTATTAATTCTTAAAAATCATCGTATTAGTCCGTATTGGCCCACTGGCAAATGCAAGCGCGCGATAAGATATTCACGCCCGTCTTTGCTAGGCGCGCGAAGAATTTTTTTTCTTCAAGTAGTAGTTATAGCTAATATATTGAAGAAAACAATTCCTCGCGTGCCTAGCAACGATGATCGCTGGGTGGAATATATTTTTATATATATTTTTTATCATGAGTAGTCCAATTTAATAGCTGGCCCCTCCCAACTTTGAAATTTCGGCGATTTCCTAGCTGCTAAAGGCTGGAGTAACAAAATTCAGATTTTGCCATATTTCGAAAGTGTGAGGTCTGTAGAATATATTATTATTAAATTCGACAGAGCGACAAATTTATTTGTTATAATTACAACGTCTCAAATTTGAGTTTCCGACACGCTATACAAAATAATAAAATAGAATAAATAAAATAAAATGCATTAGATAAAATTATTCTTGTAATGTTTACTTTGAGACAATATGTGCAAAAAAACTTAACTTTAATACATACACAAAAATTTAACTTTTGAGTATGAATGTATTGTAAAAATTTTAGCTGCTATGCGCATGAGCAGAATGGTTAGAAAGAAAGAGATGACTCTCTGTCATCATGCTATTCCGTTCACGTTTCTGCTTATAGGCGTATTATGGCAGTGCACGTTCCAGTATTATTATGCTGGATTTAGACCAGCGCGATGACGCGATGCGCGATATCCAATGAGCGTATAGCTTTTCCAAAAAGAGCTGTATCTGAATTCAGCATTATTTGTAAATTCAAGACCGTAGTAATAAAATATATAATTTTGTAGAAACAAAAGATATTTACGATTTAGCTCATAATGGTAAATATTATAATAATATTATTGTAGTAATCAAATTTTTGTCATAATTAATATTTTCAAAACTTTCATACACAGAAAAGTTTTTGATTAAGCAGAAACAAAAATATCCTGAATTACTACGGTCTTGAATTTCCAAATGAAACATCTTCGACATCTTTGCGAGTTATGATGGGTTCGGAACACTTCTCGGTTTAGTTACATGGCAGCCAACATGTAGAAAAAGAAATAACTATTACCAAACTATTACCGTTTGAAATATACCTATAGTGTATTTTGAACGCACTCTAAGGGCCTATCCAGACAAACTAGCTTCCTATAAGGAAAATTCAATCCAATCGCATTTTACATGTCTCTTTATGATAGAAATGCGATTGGATAATTTTTCTTATGCATATAATTATGCTACTATGCAAGTTTGTCTGGATGGGCTCTAAACAACACTATGGCTGCAGTCTGATATTCACTGCCAGTACTGAAAATATATAATTCAGGTCACGTATATTATAGATTTTCAATACTTGCAGTAAATATTGGAACGCAGTCTATAGCTCTTCTATGGCCTGTTCTACAATGCGTTGCATGTGACGTCGCAAGCCGCAAGCCACAAGAATTGACCAATCACGGACGAAATGTGGGGAGAATACTTGATTGTGTCGGCCTATCTTACGGCCCACATCCACGCCAGCGATACACGACTCATTGTAGAACAGGCCTATGTGAAACTTTGGTTTTTGCGATCCTTGATTTCTCAACATGGCGGTGAGTATGCGTTCCTTGTTTCAAAGAATCTTTTTGATCTGCATATATCCTTTGCATCATTAAGTTCTGTTAAATATCATTATCTAAAAATATAATTGACAAAATTATGCGCTATTGGTGATATCTATTTTTTTTTATTGAAATATTGGTGTATAAAACTCGCTATGGCAGACAGATGAGAGCGCACGCCTATTCTTAGACGTTAGACGATTTCAAACCGGTAAAACTATTTAACTTGCTTGCCAAATGAATGCATTATATGATAAATTAGCTTTATGATATATTTTGTTTTAATTCACTAGTTTTGTGATTTTTAGTTTATTATAGATTAGATCAACTTGGTTCTCAAGTAAATGTCAACATAAGTATTTTCTGGAGTAATTAATTTAGCTATTATTTATACATTTATAAATTTAATAATAATATTGTTTAAATTTAATAATATTCTATTAATAATAATATTGCTTATATCCTATTAATTTTTATTTATGTAATGGAAATGTCTTCAAAACTATATAAGAGGATTAAAAATATATATTGTTAATAGGAACATTTCTTTTCTACGATGATTATTTTTAATATTTTTGTTGCAACAAATAATTTTTATTGTCTCATAAATATAAATATCATATAGCAATGTGATAGCTATTTTTTAAGAACATTTGTTTGATAGATTATTAATATGCATAATATGTCAGATTTATTTAATATGCATAAGTAATTTATTAAAAATATTATTTACAAACTATACTTGTTAACACTGAAGAAAAAGTATTGAACTAAAAATGTTGACTCGTAAATTTATAATTCATGTAAATATTAATGTAATTGATATAAATACTTGATATTAATATTAAAAATAATAATTGTAGGACTCAAAGAAAGCGTCCGAAAAGAAGATTGAGAAAAAGATCGAAAAGAAGACTGAAAAAACCGTTAAAAAGGTAAAAAAAGAGCCAAAAGATGCATCGAAAAATATAATGCGGGAAGTACGAATCCGCAAATTATGTTTAAATATTTGTGTGGGCGAATCTGGTGATCGCTTGACACGTGCAGCTAAGGTAAATATTACATTATGATATAAGCATATTTTTATTTTATTTTGTTAATTGAAATATTTTATGTGGCAATTAAATATTTGAAATTAACATACCTTTTTATAATAGGTGTTGGAACAATTAACTGGTCAACAACCTGTATTCTCTAAGGCACGATATACAGTACGATCCTTTGGTATTCGTCGTAATGAAAAAATAGCTGTGCATTGTACTGTTCGTGGTGCTAAAGCTGAAGAGATCCTCGAACGTGGCTTAAAGGTGAATTAAAGAATCTTTATAATTATTGTTCATACAATTTGTATTTATACTATAATCTTAATATATTATTTGTTTACAGGTACGTGAATATGAGTTGAGAAAAGAAAATTTCTCTGGTACTGGAAACTTTGGTTTTGGCATTCAGGAACACATTGACTTGGGAATTAAATATGATCCCAGCATCGGTATTTATGGTTTAGATTTCTACGTTGTACTAGGACGTCCAGGTTAGTCATAATAACAGTTTAATTGTAAATTGAAAATCTTAAATAATATTGCACATTATTTGCATCATAGATATCCTTGTTTTATAGTGATGTCTATTAAAATGTGCTAGAAAAAATGTTTCATATTTGCAACCCATGTCCACTTCATTTTACTGGACGTGTTACTTAATTGATACTACATTTTAAACATTAAGATATTTATATCTATAGGCCTCTTCTTTGTCGCTTATTGGAATACTAAAAACTTTTTCTTGTTTAAACTTCAAACTTATACTTATTTCATTTTACAAATGTAGATTAGCTACAAAAAATAGATCTCTTAAATATAATAAAAAGGTGAAAGTTAAAAGCTTTATGATTTATATATGGATAAGTATAAACATAAATTATGAAATATGTTCTATTTATAGGATTTAACGTAGCCCATAGAAGAAGAAAAACCGGTAAGGTCGGCTTCCAACATCGACTTACCAAAGAAGATGCTATCAAGTGGTTTCAACAAAAGTACGATGGTATTATTATAACAGGAAGAAAATAAAAATACATATGTATTTTTTATTGTATGTCTTAGTAAATAAGTTAACAAAAATTATTTTTATTTTTTAATAATTTATCTAAACCTTGTATTATACATCTTGTGCTTACCTAAATTCATTTAGATATAATTATTAGATATAATTATTATTTAAAATCTTAAATTGAAATCTTAAAGCCTAAAATGATAAGACTATTAATATAAACCTTTAAAATTTTTATTTTAATTTTTTTCGCGTATTGCATACAATCAAAACATTGACATGTGAAGATAAATTAAAGCTTCTGATTTTTGCCGATCATTTGAATTAATAACAAGCGAATAAAGATAAAAACTTTTGCAATATAAAATAAAAATATTTCCAATAAAATAATTACTATAGGTACTATAAGTATAAAGTTACTAAAATATTTGCTATAAAATAGTTAATTGAGTAAAATATCTTAGAAACTTCTTTTGTCATAATAATCATTGAATATATTTAGAATTATAGTTGAATTATAGTATCAAAAACAAAAACTTTAATTATCAATTCAAAATGATCGTAATGAGTTGCTAAAGATTTTAAGAAAAGAATGTTCCTTATTAAAATATAAAGATAAGGAACAAATAAAAATAAAGTACATTGTTACTGTACGTAATTATTCAATCAAAAATACTGTATCAGGATAAAATCACAATATTCTATTTAAAAAAAATGTCAAATGCTTAGTTCTAGCATCCTGTGCTATTACTTTTAATGGAATAATTGAAGTTTTATTAACTACAATCGAGCTTAGGCCTAGCATAACACTCGCATAAAAGGAACTTCATTATAAAATGAATATTATCTACAACGAAGATTCTCAGAGTTAGAAATGTGTGTTCGCATTAATATATTATATGAAACTATATTTTTTTCCTGTGCCATTGGACGTTTTGATATAGTAGGTATTACTGTCAATATTTCTGTTTCTTGATTTATAAAACATTTAGAAGAATGTTGCTTTAAAAAGCGATCTGTATGTGGTATAAACATTCGCATTTATTGGCACCTTAGGCATACTTTTCAAGCTAATTTCATTTCAACATTACAAAAATTTTAGTGCTAAAAAAATTTTCATTTTCCCGTTGATTTTAGATCATATGTAATGTTAATGTTAATTCCAAATCATAACATAACAAAAATGTAAAAAGATGAAGGTAATTAGATATACCTGATTTTATAATATTCTTATTGCTAATGTTCAAAGCTTTAATATATAAAGTAACTTTAATTCGGTGGTCGATGTGGTGCCAAGCATTGAACTTAATTATAATCAAATATTCATTCATAATAATTAAATTGCCTGACTACTCTTTGGTTTTAAAAACATGAAAATGTTCCGTAAAAAAATGAATATAATAATGAATAATTATGATAAAATATATAGGAAGTGTATTTATTGACGTCCACTAATAGTTGCACTTGAATATCCTTTTCCAATCTACTTAACTTGAAGTTACGAGCAGATAAAAAGGCAAGATATATCCTTCAGTCTCCATATTGTTACCTTATCTGGACGTCATGTTAGACCAGACTTTGATATATAAGTAATATAGTGTATACAGGATGATTCAGAGTTACTATACATACGTACAATTAAGATTTCTATATTAATCACTTTAAAATCATTTTCTTGTACGTACTTAAAAATTTAAAAGATGGACAAAAAACTCTGATATTTTTTTATCCTGAATACATGTATGTAAATATATATATGTACGTGTATATAGATATATATTTCATTTATAACAGGTGAATATATAAATAAATTTATTTATGTATATTCGGGAATTCTCACGTGATAACGAGAAAGATATATTTAACTTTTACCTTCATATTTGATGGACATGCATTTCAAATAATTACATAAAGATAAATTCTCGATTTAAGAAACTCTTCTCAGCAACTTCATCAATATCACATATCTCTTGCTCAATTTTGAAATATTTTATTATGATACAATGCATGCATAATAACCATTGAAAGAGCGATTGAAACACGATTTTAACTAGATATATATATAAATTTTTTTAAATATAACTATTATGTATATATCTACTAATTTCGAGCAAATCTGTCATGTGATACGCGTGATGTTAATTTGTAATACATGGCCATCGCAGAGCATTGGTATTACATACAACCGTAAACAAGTGTCTGTCCAAGTTGTATGTTATTTACGCTATTAAACTTCAGAATTTTAAATATATAACTAAAAGCAATCTCTTAAAATTGCTAGCTATTTACAAATTATTCACATATTTTTATAAGCTAGCAATTCTTTTTGTCAGAGAAGCTAGTTGCCTTTCGATATATATTTAAAATGTATATAAGTAATGTATATTTAAGATATCCATCAAGATTCAAACGAATTTTCGAATTTTTCGAACACACATTAAAATATTTTTAAAGATACCAAAGAATTAAATGTATTCCGAAATCCGAGTGTTACATCGGATAATGCTAGTCGTCAATAATGATATAAGAGTTTTAAAATTGAAGAAGTTTTTAAAAAATATTACTTTCTCGCCGATCGATAATATCTATCGATATTGTGCCTTTCCGCATCCGTGAAGCCCAAGATACTTTCAATAGCATTTAAGTGACCGTGATGATTCTCCTTATCAGTTAGGAAATAATAGATCGCCGACTTTAGGAACTGCAGGGTAATTTCTGGGTCGAGAGTACCCTGGCTGCTTCTCGCCTCTACAATACGCCTATACATTGCCTAATCGGAACAAAATAGCATACTCGTTAAAGAATAAAGTTGAAATATTGTGACATTGACAAAGACAAATGTATAATTAGAAAGTGTACAATTGTTTAATATGATTATGTTTTATTACGTTTGAAACCAGATACATTAATATGTGTTTCATTTTCAAGATTTTGCAAAATAATGTAGTTTCAAAATTGCGTGTAGAATCAATTTCACATAAAGTCACAATATTATTTTTTTATTTTAAACTTTACACTTTTTAATATCAAATATTAAATTGATTCTGGATTCAAATATATAGTATAAAGTATTATTTTGAATGCAATGGTGAAAGCGTGCATTGCCTGTAAGCACGTGCAAAACTTACATTGCCCGAAGATATAAGAGGCTGTTTCTTCCAAGTGCACTGGATAACATCGTCCGATCTAAGAGCAACGTATAGAAGTATAAACCATCTACGTTTGTGCTTCAACGTCCGCATGCAATTGTTGCAGCAAAGCATTCACTAACGCGAATGTAAAGAAAAGAAAGATGCGAACGCAATTGTGCTTCTTTCCACACGCCCGTACCTATGTTCAAGAACTGATCGTCTTGCGACAGTATTTATGTATAACATTCCTCAAAATCATTCCTTTCATTTGCATTTGAATAAGCAACGACAATTCTGAGGTAATATTTATAAAACTCTGACAAGTTATAAAATAACAAATACCAAACTTGAATAAATTACAAAAATCTTTTCCAATTACATCCAGTTATTTAATCTCGGATTTTAGAAAAAGGAAACATTACGTTTGTGACGAAATATCAGTTCTTGAGATAGTAACACATCGATAGAATACGAGTGCATCGTATATGCGAACAACTGCTACTTTTATGGGCGATAAAAAGTGGATGAGAATTGCATCATCACGTCGTAGCCGAGTTAAGATACAGACCTTACGTGTGCCAAGGACCCAGAGAGAAACAGCCTCCTGAGCGCTTAATAAACTTTGGCTATGTTCGGCTGAAATGTGAGGTTCAGGCGAGTAGCTTGTGTCCTGGAGTGTGAGCGGCGACCAAAAAAAGTGGCACATCGTTAGTACAGGAGTAATGTGAACTACGAGAATGCTCGAAATGTGATGTACACGCCTCATAAGTGTGATAAATGTGACACATGTGAGAAATGAATAAACAATGCCTGCGAAACAAATGTAAAAGCTGGTTGGACTACGCGTAAAATACGCGTAAAATACGCGTTTGAAATTCACCTTATTCGGCGTGTTAATGTGTTAGCATTAATCGCGAATTAATCGCGAACAAATCTCGCTCGTTCGCTCTGTCTCAATCGTGAGAAAATCAGTTATTACGCGAAATTTATTATGCTTTAGATAGAACGCATTTAGAAAGAAAAACACACTAATGACTAAGCAAGGAAAATAAGAATGCAAATGTCGAACTAATAAGAGATTCATTGTGTGCAAATATTGCAACGCAGTCTAAAATTATGAAAGTTCGTTGATGATAATTAAAATGAATAAATTCGCTGAAAAAAACTAATGTCATTAATAAACGTTTGAATCGTTTAAAAATCGTTAACAATTCTATTTATAAAATATATTAATAATTTAAAATTCCTCATCATTCCTCTCTATAGAATAAATGACATTTTCAATCACTTTGCGACGTTATATTGCTGTATTAGCATCAACGCAAGACTTATTGAATCCAGATTATAAACGAATCATATCTTACCTTAATATTTTCTAACTCAGCTTGCGTGACAGTTAATTGTTGAAGCAGTTCTGCGACGGTGACTTTAGGTGGTGACTGATGCGCTTGCACGAGTATCTGTAATTTTTAAAAAATTGTTTAGTGACGTCGATTTTATTTATGTTTGTCATCCTTATATCTTCGATATATTTACCTGATCGGCTTGTTCGATACGCGCGGCTTCTTGACCTTTGGCATACATTTTCAGGTACATTTGCTTATTCCTTTCTTCCTGCTCGCTCAAAAGCGTTTTCTGCTCATTAAGCTCAGTCTTCACAGCCTCTAATTCCGCTTCTAATTCACGCGCCCGAGCCTCGGCGACATCCATAGCCGGCCGCACTTCGCAATAACGAGTATTAACTTCAGACAGTTGATTCAGCAAGCTTTCCACCTGTCAATATAAAAAAAAATCATAATTTTATTCTCAAAAAGAAAAAAAAAGGCTGCTAATTATAACTCTACCTTGTCGTTATGCTTCTGTTTGAGTTCTTGCAATTCGTCAACATGTCGTCTATGCATATCTTCGATTCTACTTTCATAATGACTAACTAATCGACGTCTCTCTTCGTCGCGCTCTGCGTTCGTTGGCGTTACAGGATTCGTATCGGAAACAATATTATTGGATACCGCGTCAATACACGTTGTCGTCGTGCTGATAGTAATCTCCGGCTGCGATTCAGGTAGGCACACGGAATCTTTCGAATGGACGGAACCATCCTCGAAGTGTCCGGAGTCAGCCAACGACGAGGGGAGATCCGTATGTACACGTTTCTCCGGCGTTTCCGGACTGGCAATGGATTTCTCCGGGATGCCTTCGTCGGGAAGATCTTTGCTCGGCGATTCCGGTGAGAAAGGATTGTTTTCGCGCACGGTGAGAGCGTCACTGCTATCTGTTCGCTCATCCGGACTGTTTAGAGAGGCCTTGTACAGCCTCAACTCTACAACCTCCTTCGTCAAACGTAGGATCTCTCGATCCTTCTCTTCGATCTCCTTACGCGCTTCCTTCAACAAAGCCTGGACATAATCGAAATAGAAACATTAATTAAGTAATATTGATAAGAAAAAAATTATAGATATAAATACATGTGCGTAAATAATTACCTATTTGAGTTTTATTAACTTTTTGCCAATACAATTTCAGATTGCTCGTTATCTATCCATGAAAATTACATCTCTCAAGACAAGGATTCACAAACGATATTTTCTATTCAAAGGATTGTAAGACTAGATTGTACTTGGCTGCGCCAAAGAAAAGTACTAATAAGGGGAAGTTTAAGAGCGGAATAAATGATGAAGGCAACTCGCAGCTCCTTCTTCACTGTGGAAACTTAATTACCTGAAACTTTCTCACTTGTTTAGCCGCTCTCTGGGTAGGTGTGAGGTACTGTTCGTTGTCGCCGACGTAATTCGAGCAGTGCACGACATATTTCCGCGATCGACCAGACCAGGTGGTGCCGTTCAACGCAAAGGAGGCATGCTCGCAGGCGCTCGCCGTGCTGCAAGCGCTGCTGTAACTCTTCACGCTCTCGGCATCGCTGTCGTCGTTACCTCCCGCTGTCGTCGTTCCTCCTGAGGCCGCGTGACCTGGCCGCGGCCTCACCGGTGTCAGTGAGAGACTCTGAAACGGTATATCATTCGGTTAATAACATCCGTTGGCGCGACTCATTAAAATAGACATGAATAGAATGAAATAGGCAATGTACAACGACGCTTGTGATATACGGCGGCACCATATTATTAATTCTGGCGATACGATATAATCGTGTAGCTAAATTAGCGATTGTTTGGGAATAGCCTTGGAACTTTCGAGAGATATCGTGTTGAGAAACATACATTTTCTTTAGAAACTCGCGGTTTAAGGAAAATATGCCTCTAATTTGATATAAATTTATGTTATGTTAAATCGAATGAGATTTAAATTTTACGTCAATTATTAAACAAGTAAAGGTTTTTTTTAACAAGTAAAGGTACTTTAAAACTTTAAAAAAATCAATGTTTTCTAAAATCTAATTAGAAGAAAATATATAAGAAATATATAAAATATATAAAAAATATATAAAATATGTAAAAAAATATAATTTTTGAAAATATATAAAAAAATATAATTTTTGTCTCGCATGAATACATGTTTCTTGATTCCAAAATTCTATAGTTCTATAGTTTCTAAAATTTTTAAATTCTTAAATTGAAAAAAAGTCTAATTATTCCGTTAGCGATTCTCAATTATCTTCAAAATTTCTAAGTCCCTAAACTGATGAAAAAAGCTAATAAAAGTCAACTTAGTTTTCGATTATTCATATATAAATTTTTGCGAATTAAAAAATAATCATTACATTAATATAATCATTTATATTAATATATTTAATATATTTAATATAAATAATATTTAAATACTATTTATAATATAAATTAATATTATTGATTATTATAAAATAATAAAATAAAATAATAAATAAGTTGATATAAATAGTATTTAATCGCTATTTATATTCAACGTTATATTATATTAAATATTATATTAAATAGTAATTATGCCGTTAGCGCACTTTTCAATTATTTTCAAAATTTCTAAGAGAATTGGTAAAAAGAGGCATGGTTTATGTACGGCGATGTGTAGAGATCGATACGTGGGTGGATTTATAACGAGCTGCCTACCTGTTGGACGATTTCTTATATTTACCGCACTCGGAATAATGACACTCATCCGGGGTATATCTATCCAGTCGCGCAACGGCGGGAGGGGCAGGCCGACTATCCGTGGCTTAACGTGCGAATCATCCGTTAAACAACGGAACTCGGAACGTCGTCTCGCGAAGTTATTACGGTTAACGCGAATAAAGGAAAAGGTCTCGGGCGAATAAAGGGAAAGGAATCTCTCGAGATACGAATCTCGAGAGATACTGACATTGCGCCGCACGCAAAAGCCAGAGATCAATTTCTTCTGTAGACTCGCCGAGGACGCTTCCTAGAACGCGGATCCTAGAAAGGCGAGCGACGTTAAAAGGCGCATTTCAATATCCCGCTTCTCTCGCGTGAAAAAAATATTAAAAAATGCAAATATCAAGTATTTCCATACAGAATATCCGCGCTATATTACGAAACAAAGCGCGCAGAGCGGCATTCCAGTGGCATTCGATTTTTTTTGAATCGTTCAATTTTTAATACAATCCCTTTAATTTTCTCCCTTTTTCGCGCGATGCGAGAAAGGTCGTTATTCGCCGCCAGGATTCGCCTTCCTCAACCGTGCCGATTGTCGATACTTGGAATTCAACGCGGGACAGTCCGTCCGCACGTAGTGCGTAGCGATTAGTAGTTGTTCAATTCCCTCCGGAGTTTGGAGGACAGCGCGATTTCCCGGGGAAGAGACGCGTGTCTCGGCGGTTACTCACGAAGGATCGTTGTCGCGGCGAGTCGGTTCCATTCTCCGTGATGACCGGGAAGATACGATAATCCGGATGTTGATGCTGCTGCGGCGACTGCAGGAAGTGGTTGTGACGACGGGGATGGTGTTGGTGGCTGGCCAGGGCCGTGCTGGCTGCGGCGGCGGCGGCGGCGACGGCGGTGGTGGCTCGCGGATGATGTGGTGGTAGATGTTCGCCGCGCAGGCGCAGATTCGCGGCGCGACGCAGAGCCGACGGCGATGGCCTCGGTATACGGGAGTCCAGCGAAGACGGCGGTGAAGTGGCAGCTGCTCGTGATATATTCCGTTTAATAATTGAGTAGCGGAAGATGGAATCACGATTCGCACGCTCGAGAATACGGCCATAAAGAAGGCCACGTCCGTTTTTCTGAGATCAGACAATTCTGGGAATTCTACTACTTAAAAACTTGAGAAAATCGACTTAATCCTCCGAATTATGAAACATCCTTTTTCTTTCGACGAATGTGGCTCGAAGTTCCATGATAAAATCGGAATTATATACATTGGGTCTTTGGAATTTTCATCCGTTTTCTATGTACTTTATTATACTCGCGACAGCAACTTTAATATTTTTTCGATGTCGCCGACTTTAATATTGTGAAATCTTAAGTGAAAGTCTAAAGTTTTTAAATTCTATGAAAAAATTCTATTCATTAATCTTGATCATATTCTAGTAGTAAACTTTTGAGTGCAATTGCAATTTTAGCACATGTAAATATTAAATCTTTTTTTTTACAGAATATAATTCTTTTTGATATCTAAATTATTTATTGTTGTTAATACGTTTTAATGATATATAAGTTCAAGAGAAAATACATAATAAATAAGACATTCTTTTAAATAGAAACAGAATTTAAAAATAAGATAGAATAATATAAGTTATAATTTATAATAAAAAAAATTAAAAAAGAAATGAACGATAATGATAAATCAATTAATGAAAATAATGTATATATATATATATACATATATAATCAATAAAATAAAAATAAAACTAATCAAAAGTAGACAATACAGAATAATATTCGAAACAATCACTTCTTTAAATAATTCTATAATTCGAATAAAACACCACTACAAATCTAAATATTATAACAATATTATATTTGCAAACATTTATCAAGCATAAAGATTAAAAAAACATTCAAATCTCTGCTAGAATTATATAATATAATATTGTAATAGTAGGGCTGTAATTAAAATAATAATTCTATAATTATAATAGAAATTATGTAATAATAATAATAATAATAATAATAATAATAATAATAATAATAATAATAATAATAATAAATATTAATTTATATTACTTAATGATAATAAATTTATAATCATCTTAAGTTGAAGAATTATTACATTTTATACAAGGGTTTAATATAATTAGGAAGTGGTTAAAAAAAGTTTATGTAATCATTATTATTGTAATTGTATAACTAAAATTATAATGAGATAATTATTTCTATTATGACCTGTGCTTTTTTACAATATTATATTATTAGTTTCAGCGAAAATGTGAATATTTTTTCGTTTTAGTTTAACATAAATTATGATAATTGATAATTGATAATTGAAAGTAACATTTTTATATTTTTGTGATTTATGTGATTATAATTTCGACACATAATATTGTATATTGCAAATGATTTAACTGTTTTAATGTTAAAAGACATGAAATAAATAAATAAATATCTATCGAATATTCAGATCGTTATCAAGTCTACCAAACATAGACATCTCGGCAGAAATAGTTTCTCATTGTTTCGAATAGAGTGTGATTTAGGTTGCGGTCCACTTGATACTTCAAATGTTTCGAAGCGTAAATTCCTTTGTCCTGATTACATTAAGCATTTTGAATCATTCGTAACACTAAGTAGACCGTAGCCCTAATAATAGCATTAAGCTGCTAATTCTTATGGAGGGTTTCTTATTGACTTACTAGGGCTATCAGCTGATTCAGCACCTGGCATGTGGGTAGAACTAGTAGTGGCAATGACCTTGTCGGTCGCGGTGACAGCACACGTTGCCAGGATCGGTGACGTCATGGGAGACGCCGAAGTGGCGGTGGTGGTGTGAGTTGAGTAACCCGGGTGCACCGGTTGCAGGGATTGCAGAGAAGATTTGTTCGTTATCGTAACGGGCCATTCTGCCCATCCAGCTTATCTTGCCGCCACGACAGTTATCACCTGGAGAAACACATGTTTATCATTGTTTATCATTCCAGGAATCATAAAATGGAAAACGGCATATTAAAATACGATTTTTAAAATCTTGAGACGAAAGATTGCGACACGTGTTTTGCAATGGAAAATTTATATAATAATATATATTAATATAAATTTATATAATTTGGAATGGAAAATATATATAATAAACATATATAATAAAATTCGTAAAATAAATCGTTCAGCATTGATGCAGAATATACGTAACATATTTACGCTCAAGACTCTTTAGTTTAATTTTTATTTTTGAGACGTTAATAATACATTTATAATCATTTAGTTAATTTTGTTAATCTATCTTTTTATATATGTACATTGCAATAAATACAAATTTTTGTCATGTTAAAAGAGTTATATAAACATATCAAAACTATATAATTACAAGCTTGTTGAAATGTGATTGAAAATATTGTATGGAAAATGTTATATCCAATTGAGACATTATTAACTGTCAATTTTTTAACTTGCAAAATATCATTTATCGAGCCAAATGGTAAGTTCTAATAATCTAATGATTTTCAAATGCTTTTTCATGATCAAATCTCAAAATTGTCTTTATTAGGATATTATTAGGATATTTAGGATATTTTTCAGTAAAGCCTTTAGGATGTCTTTAGGTTGTTTCGATAAAGTTTTTAAAGTTTTTAAGATGTTTTTTAGTATTTACTGCCGGTCTATAATAGGTTTACAAGAAAGATGTAGTAAGTTCTAAGGCTTATGCTCTAAACTATAAGTAATTTCTGGCAGAAAGCGTTTCTCGAACTATTTTAAGTCGTAATCCCAGCTAAGCTTTAACAATTGGCCAGATCCCAGCTATAAAAGTTTAGCGCTTAACACAACACATAGAAAATGCTTTTTGTCAGAAATTACTTAGTTTAAAGAATAAGGTTTACTATTTCTATTACAGATTTTACTGTATTTGTTGTAAAACGAGGAATTAAAACGTTTTTAGAATACTTTTCAGTAAAGCCCTAAAGATGTCTGAACGATGACATTTTTGGGATGTCTTTTAAATTCAGTCCGTTTTTATTTTAAAAATGTCTCAAATAATGTCTTAAGATGCTAATATAATGTGATTGGCTATAATAAGAGTATCTTAAATATATATTTGAGATATTCTTAAATATAAGAAGTGACTAATAAATATTGGCCTTGAATAATGATATTGTCTGAGTTATAAATCTGGATTATATTATTTAAAATTAAAATAATTTAATATAATTCAGCCTTTTGAATAGAATCTTACGAAATAATATTTATTCACATGCAATTGTCTATAAAATGTTGTCTAATCTTATCTAAATCTTATCTAACTCATAAGAAAAAACAATATCAATCAATGGTACATCGATGTCTTTATCTTGATAAATAAACTTTTCTGAAAATCCGTCGTCGTGAGGATTAAATAAGAAGGGAGGGTGTATGTCATGGCGGGGCCCGACCACCAACCAGTCGTGAAAACTCGTAATTATTTTGCGAAAAAATACCATCTCAGCCAGGAATCGAACCTGGATCTCCTGTTTACTGGGCAGGCATCTTATCCCTTCGACTATCGAAGCATGTGATGATATTTATCACAAATAACGTATTTAGAATAACACGTCAACAATACAATGATATACATATAAACGTATATTCTCTCGATCCTCACGACCGGAGGTATATGATAAAGAATCCTTTGGCAAACAGAAAGGGGTGGTGTGTAGCCGAGGTCGAGGACATATCGATTGAACGAAGCGCTATCGTACGCTGAACCTAGGTCAGTTGTCTGTCGAGACTAGTGTACCTTATTTTCAGCATTGCCCGTGAATCTTGCCCGTGGATATACATCTCGAATTCATCCTTTCCATAGAATTTTTATCTAAACACGACCAAGAGATGTACATAATGCAAGAATTCCGCAAAAAGTTTTGTACTATAAAACAAGAACAAGAACTTTTAGAGATAAAAGAATGCTTAACTGAATAGAAAAAGTCAGATAAAAAAATTATCTTTTCTTCTCTGGGCGTTAAGTTCTTAAGTTCAGTAAATCTCCTTTTAATTAACTTTTCCTACATGCAATTTTCGTGCATGTAATTATTAATGTCACAAATGAATATCAATAAGTATAGATAACGATTGAGCAACAATAAATAAACCAGGCACGAATTTGAGGTGTGTGCACATTTTCCGCAGACAGCCTATTGCGTGACCTCGCCGTTATTCGTACGGATGCATTAAGCGTGCCATGCGTTTGTTAACTTCGCGTGCACTTCGTCCTTGCACGCGGAAACTGAATCGGTACCGTAATTTTGCGGCACGCCTTTAGGAATGAATAGAATTGCGTAAAACATTTCAAAGAGACTGCGTGTGAATCTTGAACGCTCCTCACAATTGTGCTCTCTGGAGAAACACAAAAAGAAAACTGGAAAAAAATCTAGAAAGCGGAAATGTAATCTAGGTATCTTAGATATTTACGTAATGTTCATAAATGTATAAATAAGAAATCACAAGTTAAAACAATAATAATAATCATAGGCTATTATTTAATACGCAAGTAACAGATAATTAAATCAGAAATTATCTAATTGATATTGTTAAACTTGATGAAAAATCAAATTGTAAATTGTGTGTGGGGGGGATGGGGGAGGGCGTTCAATTCAAACGTTCCTAAGTAAGTCCAATTAATTAAAAATCATACATACATACATACATACATACATACATACATACATACAATCATGTACAATAAATCCACATTACGATAAAGAATTCGAGCAATTTTTCAATATAATTATCAATATTTTTTAAAACAAGATTTGTAATAATTAAAAAATACGAAAGCGAAGTTACTTTACATCTAAATTGGTTTTATTAATTCAGAATTGATTTGCTTTGCTTTCTTCTGAAAATTTCCTATTTAGCTTAAAAATCTCCATCCATTTTGAATCTTTCCATGTTTCTTGCAAAAAATGACAAAAAAATAAAAAATAAAAAAATTTGAATTCGAAATTTTCTCTTCAGCTAAGGTCTTTCTGAGCTATACCTGAAAATACTGGAATATTTTAACTTCGGAGTCTCGTTACGTAAATCGATCGTAACGCTCGACGGTTTCGACATCGCCGAGTTTGCGAAAGTAAACCGGGAAGACGGAATAATCGCGCTTGACTTCGGGTGACCGTAACGTCGATCGAAAGGACAGTCAAATTGAAGTGAAAGGCGCGAAGGGAAACCGCGACCTTTATCGAAATAAAATAATCGATCGGGCCACGTTTCTATTTCAAGGCTACTCTGCGGCATTATGCAGCGTTTTAGCTCGTCGACGAGCCGCACAGAGCCGCGATCTTACGTCAATAGAAGGCCCCGATAGACACACGGTGTAATAAATATAATATCATATAAAGCATCGTTATAAACGCGCGCAACGTGTAACTACGAAATTGTCTATTACTAAAACGTAGCTTTTTAACTATTGGAATCAATACAGAACTACGTCCATTTCTCAGAAAATTTACAAATTACATTTCTTAGTAAAAATGCAGATTAATTTTGGCTTTATTAAGTAAGCTTTATTATTAGCTATCATAAAATTAATTAATTAATCAATATTTGACTTTATTAATCTCGGTAATTTATTTTCTATATTTTTTAAGTTGTGTAAATTTTTTTTCAAAATAATTAAACCGAATTAAGATTACTAGATATTGGATACATTAATAGAGAATTGGATACAATGCGCTTGCTTAATTCGTAAATTATTAAACTTTATCGAGAAACGAAACGCATTGCTCTGTCCGTTCTATAATCAACTAATTCCATATTAATCAATATTAGATAATTAGTGCGCCTATTTCCGTGAGCCATTGCTGTTTATTCGCTCTTCAGTGAAATTAATACATCACAGAATTAATGTGTTTGCAGTAACGATTCGTATTTTATTAGAGAAAGAAGATATTAATGTGCCTATTCTATATTAATGCACAAAATTAATTAATTAATTTAAATTTAACTGATACTAGTTTATTACATTTTTATGTATGATAAAACTAATACAGAGATCTATATTTTACATCTAAATCAGAAAAGAGGATAAAATAATAAAAGTTTAAGATTAAAAAATAATTGATGACTCAGAATACGTGCAGATAATATTTTTTAGCAAATTATGAAATTTCTATGTCACGCAGATTTCTTCAAATAAGAACAAATCGAATAGGTCGATAATTCAAATAAACGGACTACAACTCTCTGTATACACGAAAGTCGCGGTCAATTGATGCGGAAATATAGGCACACATACATACACGTACACAGGTTATATAACGCGAGCCAAATAATTATACGTAAACTGGCGCGTATTAACGAACTAGGAAACGAATGTGCGATTAGCATCGAGCGATATACGAAGTCA